TATCTTTATTTAATTTTTAATTTTTAATCTTTTAATTAATGAAAGAACTTTTCCTTTCATCTCCGCACGAATAAAATTCAGAATAAAAATTGAAATTCCTGTGAGTCGAGAGTTGTGATTTGAAACGTTACAGAATTTCGACTTCGTCTCAACCTGAAGTATAAACCAGTTTTTACCTTTGCCGTCAGGAAAAGGAATCAAGGACACGTGAACCGAGTTATGAAAACAAGGGACTTCAGTCTTTTTACAATTTACCAAGTTACGGTTCCAGTGACCACGATCACGTTGATGTTAAAAATCGCAATAACAAAACATAACACAGTACATATTGACTAATATAATCGAATTGATAATGTTACTCGGACCAAATAATTGATGTAGCGTCAATATGATGTACTAATAAACTGACGTAATAATAAAAGTAGTGTTTTTCGAGTACCGTCGAGGAAGAATCGCGCAAACCCTATTTCAATGCTAATGAGACCTTTTGTTCAATGAGAAGTGCCGAACGTTCGGCTTCATTGAGACCGCGCATGAGCCAAAATGGAGCACGAAAGAACGGTAAGAAAGTTTACGTAAGACGAGGAATATATTTTCATACCGTCATTAATCCTCTGTCATTAAGTTTCCCGTGTTATACATCCGCGAACGCGGGAATTATGTACTTTCTTTGGGATCGGTGTCATGAAATTCTGAGCGCGTATCCCGTCGATAGCCGTAAACAACCACAGATACCTCATTCGAGTAAACGTCTCTCATTTTTGAAATTGTGTATATACAAACTTTATATATTATCGATACTAGATTTACGGAGCACTAAAAACAACTATTTTATGTTACTTTGTAAAAATAACAATTATATATTCGTACACGTACTCTTGCAATATCGATAATCGTAAATTCCAAAATTTTTACCTCGTCATTTTGAAACCGGTGCACCTGTAAACCTAGTATTAAACAAATTAATCATTTACATAATATTGCCAAATTGTACCAATATTCAAACGATGCTACTCCACACAGCTGTATTGTTGTTTTTACTCTTACGTATGTACATTAAAAATTAATCTACGAGATGCATAATCGAATTTTGAGGTCCACGATGAATGTCTTTCGAAAATGGTTCCAACACATCATATGTGCAAGCAATATTGAACTTCGCTCGCACTTCTACACGATTGTTTCCACAAGGAAGATTTTGATAAACGAAATAAAGATCGTTACCATGAGGAAGGTTTTAGCGAACAAAATAAATTTGTCTCTCATTCTGGTGTCTGTAGAACAATCTCCGAAGGATAAAACGAAGTTTCATAGGCATACATTATCCAAACTGAAGTAAAACACGTTCATGCCTTCTGAAAATGGTTCCAACAGATAAACAGGTACTCGCAAACACTGAATTTCTCACTACTCTGTATTATGCAGTGTTGCTGAAATCCGTATGCGATGCAAACGTACAAAAATTTGCAGTTCGCTCCGAAGAAACGACGAGATGGTACTAGCCTCCCGTGTAATTTCCATAAGCAGACACCAGGCAGAAGGAAAGGCAAGAAAGAGGTGGAAGTTGTCGAATATTACAACCGCGATGGGGAATGGTACCAGTTTAGTTCGCCGTTGATCGTGGTACCGTAGACTGCGATCCCATTCCTCTCGCGCCCGGTGCAAACAAACGCGCTGAAGATCACCGGTGCTGTAAGCACGGAATTCGCTCCATAGGATAAGAACGGTGACCCCTTAAAGGTAAGCCATTCTTGCGAGATGTACGCAATTACCGTTGCAACTGCCTCACAGAATATTTCACTGTGCGAAACACAGCGGGATCAAACTTCGAATGTTTCTTCATAAAATTTTATGATCTCAATGGCTATTAATTGAGATAAATATTTAACTAGAATGTCAATATTTGTTTTCTCGATCGTAAAAAAAAGTAGGAATTCAATAGAAATTTCTTATAATAATTTGTATACTCTTAAAGTCTTCAATATTTTGAGATCTTTATATTCTTTGATATAATATTTTGAAATCCTTAAATTCTGAAATTCAAGATTTTAATTGGTTTCAATTTTCTCATTGCTTTAAAGGTCGACTGTTTTTATTTTCATAAATGCATGCAGACGTAGTTACACATTTTACGGAACTATGCTTTCCAAATATAGGCGATCATGACATTTCAGTAATTTACCAAAGTGAATGGCATGAGATAATATAGCAGCGTCTTCGAATTCACTGAATTCACTAAATTTACTGTTATGTATCGTACTTGATCACTCTTCACGTAAATATATAAGATTCTTCGGATAATTATAACAATTTATTATGAAATTATGTTTACGTTCTTGATTATTATACCTTCTTGAAAGTTATTATTCCATTATTTGAGCATTTTTGTATCCTTACTCGTTCAAACAGGGGATGTATTTCTATTATAGAATATTTATACTCTGTTGCGTGTGGAACCAACATCCTAATCGAAATTTATGATTCTTGCTCACGGTGACGGTCAAGATCGAAGTTCTTAAAAGACTTCCACACACGAATGCGTCTAACAGTAAAATTCACGAGACATTCAGAAGCATAGATGCAATTAAGACTGATATTTATTGAAGAATAATTAGGTACCCCAAATATCTGCATCCGATGAAGTTTGAAAAATGTTTGTATACGTTACAATAAATGAGCAATAGGAACAAACTATAATTTAAATACGAAACATAGAATTCTGGGATTGTTGGTTATCACAGTCTAAAATCTGACATTTTATGCGACGAAGAAATCGTATGTCAATTCGTTTCAATATTTTAATAGCATTCTAAAAACTGCAGAAGTCGAGATTTAATCCCGCAGCCGGTTTTACAATCTGCTTTTAACCTTGGCTTTTCTTGCGGGTCTTAAACTTCAAAAGGCGGATTATTTTACATCTTACGAAGGAGACACCGGTTTTAACAGATTCATACCGAAATTTCGCTTTCATGATCTCATAATATTTATATGGATCTTTTTTTTGCTGAAGGTGGCGCCTATCGTAAATTAGAATATTTATCATAAACACGTGACAATACACTTTGATACAAATAAAATTATATGTCATACATATGAGAAAACAGATTATGTTTGCATACTCTTTATTTGCACATTCAGGAAGCTATCATTGCAATAAATTCGACGAACTGCTCTTTCTAAAATTGTTATAGGCTACCAAGTTTCGAGAGTTTGCGATTTCTATTCTCGATATAATATTAATGCTTATGTGAGAAAAATCAATTCCCAGTTTAGCAACTGAAGTGTGGGCGTTCACTTCTAACACTTCACTTTTCTTGATTCCGTATGCACTTTTCTGAACTTATACTTGCTAACACGTGGTCGTTAAGCCACTTATAGAAAATGTCACGGAAGTAATCCAGCTGAAACGGTTTATTCCGTTCGATTTTATTTCTAAATCCGTTTCAGAATATTGAAACATAAATTTGTACAACCATCGTTCGTTCATAATTTTCATCAGATTCAGTGCGTAATGAAAATCAAAATATCTTCGATCTGTAACAGCTACTAAATTGTACTAAACTTACTAAATTGTACTAAACTTGTACTAAATCTTACTTCCAAAACTTCGTTTATTTAAGCGTGCATTAAGGAATCATTTTAGATTAATTCGACAATGTTTAACTTACAAATTAATAAATTCACGTAACAATTGAAACACCCATCCTTCGTTTAATTTCGCCAAGTTCAAGGCATAGTAGATAATCAAGCTGCAGTTAGTCTTGTAATTAAATCCGATTTACTTAAATGTAGGCGAGGAAACTTGATAGTTTCAGACGAATCCGGTAAACTAACGTTTCAATCTTTTCTCGGTTTGAAACTGTGAGTTGCAAAAACTGAGCACATAAACCCTAAACAAAGGAAGCGTTAAAGATGTCATTGTTACCATTTCCATGAAACGCAAGCCAGGTGAGAAAGTCAGCGGCTCACCGGTTGACAGGTTTACAGCTGTGAACAGGCATTACAATTAACCCGCTGCGCAATTTTAACGGGCCAACAGTATCAAATAAGCAGAACAATTAACGCAGCGGTCGTCTTATCGCAATATCTTCCGACGAAAATTACGGGACAATCATTGCACAGAGCATGTCGCATTTCGCTCTCTGTATGCTACGGATTGTATCTTCGCATCCGTGGATTGTCGGCCGATGAAACGAAAATTGAACGTTTGCTACGGTAATTGACGCAACACGGATAAAAAAACACTCACACAATTGCAAAAGCCTTTGGCTCGTCAGAGGTTTGAAGAAATTTTGTTCACGTATCGCGTAACCGTCGCGAGACACAATTCGCAGTGACCGGTGTGTCCTGACATACCTTGGCATTAAGAAACGCGGAATCACTCTACCTTTCCCTTGAAATATTCCCACCAGTCTCATCGTACTACTTGTCTTACATTCTCTCCGTCTCTACGAAGAAAAACTACGATCCATTTCTAACCATTTACCTGTCAGACCTATCAACGCTCCACGGGTCCCACTTAATGAAATGAAAAGAGGGGGACTGTTGACTTTTAGGATTCACGGCATTTCCACGTTCCGAGCATTTAAAGTCTTCGAAAGACGTTTCCAAAGTTACCGGGTAAAGCCGTCCGAAATCGAACGATCGATTCGCCAAACCAATCTTCTTTCGAACTCATAAAATATTCGCGACGGTTGTAAAACTTCGTAAAGCAACTGTAATATTTATTAGTCAATATTTACTACTCGCTTTATCACGTAGACTAAGCTAATTCTTGCTTCAAAAAAAGGAAATAATTGTTCGAGAGACAATCCTACAGTTTTTATTTTATTTTACATTTTCATCTAATTAATTACAATGGGCTGTGATAAGGGTGCTGTATACTTTTGCAAACTTTCTTTCTAACAGATTATTTTATCAAAATCGGAATGTCGGGACACATTCGTCTGTGTTTTTTAAATGTTTCTCATAGCGAAGGTACAGCGAAAACATTAATGTTGTATTCTATTTTTGTATATATTTATATTTATTATATTTCTCTATACGTAGAGATTCGCAGTCCGGGGTGATAAGGTGTTCGAAGATTATTTCAGCATAAAGTTCAGCTGTATTGAAACTTGCGATTTATTGCGGAATTGTTGCTCAACCTCGGAACACCCCGAGCGTAAACATTATATCGTCCGCACAAGAATATCAAGCTTATACTTCTTCGCGTATATGATTGGGCATTACTCATTGAGGTACCCAACAACGACTTGTAGTTATGACACCATAAAACGAAGCATAAATCGCGACATGAGCGAGCAAAGGTAATAGAAACTTTTTCCCCAGGAAGTGTAAAAAGGGTACTCCTGCTTAATGGAGACGTTAAAATTTTGCTTACGACGACTCGTCGGGTTTCAAAGAAGTTACGTAAAACATCTATGTAGTTGGAAAAACCATATTCTACTTCGTGACGAAATATTTTCAGTTTTAAATATGTTTCTGTTTACCCGAATGCAGTAGAGGTAAAAGTGAAAAATCTGCAATAGTTGTCCGTTTTATTTACGCACGTCCAATGATTATTATCTTGCCCGTCATCGGCAAAACTAATACAAGCTCATCTAATATCTCTCGTGTCGACGTGAAATTACGGTAAGATCAAAGAAAATTATTATAGAGGGAATACTATAATCGCTTAGACTTCTCTACAATCTCAACATCGATCCTGTTATACGATAAAGTAATTATCAGCAAACAGCCTAAAATTACGTGCTTTAGTTGGTCAGGGTTAACATTGGAACGACGAGAAGAAGCGTTAAATTAGTTTTAGATACTTTTACTCTCATTGTTTTCTCTATGTATTTTCTAGAGATAATTTTAGGATGAACGTAAAGACGACGAAAGACGTTAAATTTTGGTGGTAAAGAATCTCAACGTCGATCCTGTTAAACGATAAAGTAATTATTAGCAAATAGTTTAAAGTTGCGTGCTTTAGTTGGTCAGGATTAACATTGGAACGAGGAGAAGAAGCGTTAAAAGATACTTTTACTCTCATTGTTTTCTCTAATAATTTTAGGATGAACGTAAAGACGATTAAAGACGTTGGTAAAGATTAATTATGCGACAACAATTATGAAGAAACGAGGCCTTGCTTTCGTTACTCCATGCTTGTCTCGACATTTACCATATCGAATCGTTGGATTCCTAAATGCATCAGGCTAGTATTACCGGTGGATACAGTGAGAATGATTTAGCTAAGAAATAGCCAAGGCGAAAATTCCTTATGGTCAAAAGAGTCAAGTGAGTCTTCAAGTTCCTTAAAAGGGTGAATCGATTAAGAGGTGACGGTGCGATTTATCCGATTTGTCTCGTTGCCCGCACGTCCAACTCTGGGGTAGCGGTTTCGCTCCTTTTCTTTTCTGTTAATGGTGTAGGTTAATCATCTGGCTACTTCGTAAACTAAACACGTTTCATAGGAACAATGAAATGTGATAGCACGAAGACTGACAGTGAGACTGATACCGTAAACTTATACTCTTCGTATAGAAGAGTTTTGCAACATTGCGGAGCGAAAATGAAGTCACGTTAAATATTCTGCAAATAATCTTTATTACGCGTTCGAAATTATACCGTATGGTTGTAGCATAAATAAATTCGGCTCCGAGTTCGTTGTAAAATGCGTATGTAATTAACGCTTTTAACGAAAAGCGACTTTTTAATAAAAATTTCAATTTTCATTGAGAAAGAAAAGCCAATTT